GAGAGTGTGGTAAGCACTTTCATTTATTCTGTAATTCAACAAATAATAACAGTGCCCTTAACAAGTGCCAGGGCTGGAGTAAAGGTATGCTCAAAGTTCTCTGGGCTACCTGCAAAGACCAGGAAAACTTCATAGAAGAGGCAGCAGCCAAGCAGTGATTTGGAGGACTCCTTCTTCAAGGTCTTCATCAGATAATGTAGGGAGGCAGGGCCGCAGAGGGAACTGTGTGTGCTGTGCACAGAAGAGTGTGTTGGGCTGGGAGAAGCTAGAGATGAGTATTCGGTTGTGTGCAGATGTACATAGCCTTAGAGGTAGATTAATGAAGGAGTGTAGACTTGATCCAGAATGCATTTTAAAGACATTAATGATTTTTAAGTGGGAACACACAAATGGGATGCAGGTACAGAATACTGGTATTTAGGATAATATGGGCTGTTCATACAAAGCCATAGATTAAATTTGCTAGCCTATTAAAAATGGATGATTTGACCCATCAAGGACCCCTCTGTCCTTGACTGATGTAACTAGACCTTGTGACCCCGTGGGGACACCGTTTCTGGTCAATGAAAAGAGAGGATTTCATGTGGCAGTGGGAAGTGGGGTGCAGACCAATGCTTTTTAAATGACTAACTGAAATAAGTAGATTCATCATGCACTGAGGTCTGGACAAATCAGTTCGGGTTCCCTGCTTGCTGCCTCCTTACCTAATTTCCTTCAGAAGGACTTGTTAGTACGTCTGTAGAAGTGATACCTCTTATCAGGCGGTTTGTCTGACTTGCCTCAGAGCAAGTAAACAAACCCAACAGATCAAACCCTCCAGGTTCGCTTCAGCTCCCGAAGTTCCTCTGCATTCTTTTTTATCCTTCCTTAGAACTCAAGGACAAATAGGTCAGACCCCGGAATCATCCCAGTACTAGGGATGAACTTAACCTGGCTAAGACATTCACAGAATAAATATTCCTTCCCAGCTGGGGAAGAAGAGGATTCAGCCTAGCCAGTGGTTCTCAAATTCAGTGATCATAAGCTTCAAGTCAAGTCATGGGCTAAAAATGTGGAGTTGAGAGCCGTACTTGACACCTACTGAATCAGAATCTCTGGGGTAGGCCGAGGAAACTGTGTTTTAGGCACTCATTCCCAGATCATTCTGATGCCAGCAATCTATGGACCTCACTGAGCGGTATGAATGTCCTTGTCAGTAATTGTGGCCAGTAATTCTGCCAGGTGGCTACTGGCAGCTGTTTTGGGGGAGGGAGGAGGACTGGCTAAATGAACCCCTGGATTCATAATCCTCCAGCACAGTTAGCTTGCAAATTTTGCAGGATGCTTGGTTTTCAGTTCAAGTTATTTCTAGGTTACCTTCTTAATTGAGCTGTTTAGCTCAGCAGAGGACGTGAGATACCACAGATAAGAGAAAGGTTTAGGAGTAAGCATTAAGTTTCTCTGGCTGTGTCTCTGTTGTCCTTTCCAGTTCCACTTAACTGAAGAGCGAGGATTTCTTAAAGGACAAGTAACCTCTGAGGGAAATATCAAGGGGAAAGCAACACATTCCCTTTCCTTGCCATGGCCGTTAGAGAGCTATGTTTGTTAAGAAAAGAATATCAAAAAACACATCAAGATGTTGGATAAAGATATTTCTTTCTTCTGTGTTTGCCAGCTCCTGGGGTTACAGGAGCACAAGTTTAGGCAAATAAGGACCATTTCTCTCTAAAGGTGGCTCTTAAGGTGTCTCACTGGAAATCGGTGTGGCTAACTCATTAGCGATAGCAAGTGTTAGATGCTCATAATTAGTTAGATGCTCCCACAATTCATTGGCTGAAGACATCTTAAATGTGGACTTTTTGGCTTTTAATGTCTTTGGTTGCTTCTTTAGCATACCTCAGTTTGAGTGTACAGATTTGGGGTTTTGAAACTTGTTTTTAATTAAGACGTGGTTTATTTTTATTACTTGAGATAAAATGCAATCTGGGGGACTCAAATCTAAGTTACAAAATAAAGTGCATCTGGGCAGACCATAGGGGGGGAAAAATAGAACATAAAGGCTAATGTGTCTGCCAGGATTCTTAAGTTTATTTGTAACTTCTTGGGAGAAGAAAAACCCCAGCACCTGCATTTTTTAAAGAGCCTACCTTATAAATGTCCAACTCTTTGAAATACCTAAATGAACTAGGCTGAATTATGAACTAATGGCTTGTAAAAATTCACCTTGAGCCAGCTACTGAAGATAACTAAATAAGAGATAGAGACTGAGGAAACCCAACCCGCTGTTTGTTTGTTTTATCAGTAATGTAGCTCAAAAGTAGCCAAGCCGGGGGTGGATGGGGGAACTTTCCCTGTGTTTTGTTTCCCTGAGCTGAGCCTGCGAATGCCAAGATTTAATCTAAAGAGGTTTGTGTTTTAAAAACTAACAACCAAGTAATAAAACACCTATAAAAGGGGTTTATAATGGAACCGGTGACAGTTTTGAGTGTAGTATTACAACTCTTCTGCTCCCCTCTCCCTTTTTCTATCCTTTCATCCAACTCTGTGCCCTTTGTCTTAGCTCCTTTCTCACCTTGTTGCCAAGAAGCATGTAAGTAGGGGCAGCTCACACCCCAAAGGAGCAGACATCTTTACAAAGTGAAGTGTGTATTGTGCTCTGCATTTGTTGACAGGGTTGTGCTGCTTGTTTTGTCTGAGATAAGTTGCGCTAACAAAGTACCTACCTAGTTGGCACAGTGGTTTTGAAGGGGGAATTGAAGATGCTGCTGCAGTGCCAGCAGCAGCACGAGGATGTTGGAGGCAACCAGGGCAGGAAGCCGGGGGCCTCTCCCTAGCACTTTGCTTCACCCTGCCAGGGCCCAAGATCTCCCTGATTCCAGGGACAGACTTCAGTCAACAGGTGGTTTTCCACCCAGGCCACCAAGCCTGGAACTTGGTTCTTTTACAAAGCCATAGTTCTCCCCCTCCCAAAGAAATGGCGCCTCAGAAGGGAAACTTCGAACTCCAACTCTGTAGGAGCCATTTCTCGAGCCTACTTTTCCTATTTTCTGAAGTCTCCCCTGCCCGCATCCCATCCATCCTCGGGAAGAGCAAGGGACGCTCTTTTTAGTCTGGAGGGCGCTGGGAGGCATGTGGGCAGCGTCAGAGTGGCCTCGCCTGGGCGGCCAGAGGAGCCCCAGCCTCCCTCATGTGGGCCTCAGGAACTCGGGGGGCCCAGGGGAAGCCTGGAAAACCGAACTTCGCCATCAGCCTTCCTTAGAGCGCTGGCTAGAGGAGAGGGGGAAGGGCCCCCCAGCGGTCTTTCCCCCACTCCCCCCGCCCCCAGCACCTCTGCCACCCGGCTGCACCGCCCAAGAAAGCACTCAGAACGCATTTCTGAGCTCTCCAGCTCATCGCAGGCCGGGAGAGGGCATCTTGAGGGGGCACTTTTCCCCCTCCTGCCCGCGTCTGACATCCCCACTCCCACCCAAGGATGCTGCCGCCGTGCCCTGTCCGCGGTCGCTGAATGTCACTGCTCCCTCTTCCTCCTGATCAGGGTAGACACAGCTCCCGAGGCATCTCCTACCCCCAAACTGCCGCGATCACCCGAGGGTGTAAGGCCCGGGTGGAGGACGAAGTTTGGGGCCCACAGCGGCGGGGGGGGGCGCGTTGGCGAGGACCGCACCTCTCAGTCCCAGCCCTGGCGGGCACACTCCCCGCCCCAAACGGCCCAGGCTTCCCCATCCTCCCGCGGACACCGGCATCCCCGCCCTCCCCCGAGGGCGGCAAGCGGAGCCCCCCAGGGCGGAGGCAGGTACCCCCGGGGCGGGGACTGGGGCGGGCGGGGTCCAGGCTGCGCCCCCGGCCGGGCCGGGCGGGCTAGCTGGCGGCGCGGGGGGAGCGGGGCTGGGCGGCGCTGCCTCGGGCTCTGTGCGCTGCAGCCCGGAGCCGAGGAGGAGGAGGCGGAGGAGGAGAAGGAGGCGGCGGCGGTGGGTCCCGGGCGGGGGGAGCGCGGCGCTGCGGACCCGGGCGGCTGGCAAAGGACGAGGCGGAGGCTGAGGAAGGCAGCGGGGAGACCCGGGCTGCAGCAACAAAGGGCAGCAAGCGATTGGCCGGGCTGCAGGCGAGGTTAGCCGGGGACCGGGGTGGCTGGAGGCAGCGGCGAACGGTGCACGTGCTTGCAGACACGGGCGAGTGTGGAGCCGGGGGGTGCACGCCCGGCGGGTAGGGGGCTTGCTCCCCTTCGGCATGGGATGGCGAGGAGGCTGCAGCGACATCGTTCTGCCTGCACCCGGCCTGGGGCTTGCAGGGTAGGGGGGTGTGGGGGGTAAGGATGCGAGCCAGGGGGCGGGCGAGTAGTCGCCCGGGACGGGATGGGAGAGGGTGGAGGAGGGGGCGGGATGGAACGCTCCGGGCGGCGCGCCCGTCCGCGCGCTCCACCGCGGGAGCTGGCGACTGAGAACCTCGAATTTTAACTTCGCGTGCCCGCCCGCGCGCGCCCGCCCGCGCCCACCCCTAAATCCTGCGGCCGCCGCCAGCGATCAGCTCTCACACAAACTTTAGCTGCGGGCTAGGGGATTTGGGGTTGAGTGGGGGAGGGGAGAGGGAAAAGACCCTCTGATTGGCGTTGTGTGCAGCCAATAAGGCCAAGCGCTTCTCCTGCGAGTAGACCCAATCCATTTCTAGAGGTAGAGGGGGCGGGTAGGTGGAAGTAGAGGTGGCGCGGTGTCTGGGAGAGAGAAAAACGCATGGACCAATAGGTGCCCAGAAGAGGCGGGCTCCGCGGTCTGTTGATTGGTACTGGCAGTGGACCCACCCCCGGGGTGGTTCCAGAGGGGGGAGATGATGGGTCGAGGGGTGTGCCTATGCGGAGGCGAGATGACCGGCAGGAACCTGCCCCAATGGGCTGCAGAGTGGCTAGTGTGTGGGTGACGGACAGACCCGCAGGCCAACGGGTGGCCTTAAGTGTCTGTGGTCTCGTCCAATGGAGCAGCGCCGGGGCGGGGCCGCGGCTCGGGTTTAATGAGACTCCATTGGGCTGTAATCAGTGTCATGTCGGATTCATGTCAACGACAACAACAGGGGGACACAAAATGGCGGCGGCTTAGCTCCTACCCCTGGCGGCGGCGGCAGCGGTGGCGGAGGCGACGGCACCTCCTCCAGGCGGCAGCCGCGGCTTCTTTCTCAGGCAGCGGCAGCGCCCCCGGCAGGCGCGGTGGCGGTGGCGCGCGGCCAGGTCTGTCACCCACCCCGCGCATTCCCAGGGGGAGGAGACTGGGCGGGAGGGGGGCGGAAGGTGGGGGGATCGGGGGCTTGTGACGCCCCTCCCACAGGCCTCTGCGCGAGGGTCACCGCGGGGCCGCTCGGGGTCAGGCTGCCCCTGAGCGTGACGGTAGGGGGCGGGGGAAAAGGGAGGAGGGACAGGCCCCGCCCCTCTGCAGGGCCTCCAGGGCAAGGGGCGGGGCTCGATGGTGGAGGGGGCGGGGCGATACCGGGGGGGGGGCGGGGCTCGGGTGGTGGGAAGGCGGGGGTTTGGAGGTGTTTTCTGAGTGGGAGTGACCTGGTAGGAACGGTGGGGGGCCAGTGAATGTCTAGAAAGACTGAGGGGGTGGGTGCGAGAGGAAACGGGAGGTGTGCAAGCAGGTGCAAAGTGAGGGTAGGGAGAGGTGCAACATTGGAGATGTGGAAGGGGAACTGAGGGGTATGTGAGGGTAGGTGAAATGATGCAGGAAGGTGGGATTGCAGTTATTTGGGACAGTAAGAATAGGTTTGGGTGTGGTGGATATGGAGTGGTATTGAGAGCAGTGCAGAGTAGATATTGGATTGGGGGAAGTATTGGGGGAATGTGAGGAGCAAGTACAGTTGCTGTGGTGGGAAGCAGGTATCTGTGTAAACTGGCATTGGGAATTATAAAGGAAGTCTGGGGTCTATGAAACATTAAAAAAACATGGAAGAATGACATGGATATGCTTGGGAGATTCTTGGATGATGATAAGACAGCAGAGCAGAACTTGCATAATATCTGTAGCAGAAGATCTTACAGGGATTGAGAAAAGGTGGCGGGTGTAGAAAAAAAAAATGGGTGGGGCTGGGCAGTGGGTCTGGGTGATTTGGTTGACTGCACCAGGAGTGGGGATAGGGCAAAGAAAGGTGTTACTTTGGAAGACCAGGTTGTTGACAGGCTGGATTTCTTGGGTGAAACTTGAGCTGGAGTCTGAAGGTCTGGTGTCTGGTCAGGGTGTCTGTCTCGGGGAACCTCCAGTATTACCTTGGGAAAGGACATAGTGTCTTTTTGAATTTGTAAGTACTTTGGTATGGGTAGAGTGCAGGAAGTTGTGGGAGACAAGGGGCAAAGGAAGAGGAGGGGCTAGATTACAAATGGTTTCCTGTGCCCCATGAATGAGTTTAAGCCATGCAGTTGGGAGAAGGTATTGGGATGTGATAAACAGAGTATTGGACAGAGGTTGTGAGACAATAGTGATAAAGAATTCCAGATGTGGAAAATAAGAAAAGAGAACCAATGAACCTAGTATCAAGTATGTTCGGGGTGGTGGTAGGAAGAAATTCAAGGTAGAGTATATAAAGACTCCTCTGTATATGGGCAGGAGATGAAAGTAGCACATGGGAATTAATTATGTTGGGATAGTGTTCTGTGGTGCTCCAAAAAAGTTATTACTATTTTGGTATAATTGTGAGTGAAGTACATTCTTCTGTCTTACTTGTGTATCTTAGATTTTCAGGGATAGCCCTGAAATAAAACACTCCATTCATTCCATTCTTACCCATAAATTCTTCACATATGTATCAAAATGAATTGGGGCAATCTTCTTATGTTTTTAAGAAGAATAGGAAAATAGTGCATTGTTTCAGTAAAGGATAGATTTTTACCTGAGAACCTCTACTTAGGGTTGAAGGTTGGGGAGGTGAAATGATGACTTAAAAAAAAGAGAGAGAGAAGATAGAGGAAGGTGGTAACATTAAAGGAGGAATTTAGGGGAATGACTGGTTGGGGGTGATAACATGATCAGTAGAAGTTTTACCTACCAACCATACCTGGGCCTCTGAGTAGAGTGGGTGTTCCGTCATTGCCGTTATGCCAAATGTTATCTCATGCGCTTCTTGTGAAGATAAGATTGAAACTGTCACATGTAAGGCATAATGTGAATGAAAGGTAAAATAGGGTGAGTGTGGAAAGGTAGCTGAGGAATTTAATAAGTAATTTTAATGTACTTCAAAAAACTTCATGGATTTTTACTTACTGGTTAACCAACTGGTCTGGCTTTATTAAATGCCAGGATTCCTAACCAGGTGACTTTTCAGTCTCTTAGATCGTTTTCTACAAAATACCTTCAGTTTTCCACATGCGTATACTTGCTTGTATTTGTATAAAGTAGGCAGAAAGAAAATTGTTTTATGAAAGTTAGGGATGTGTGAGCTATAGTGATCAGTCTTTGCTTGCAGAATGGTAATATTGCATGGATGGGAGAAGTGTGATGAAGGGATATTTTTCTTCCCTTAAAATGTTTTAATTTGCATTTCCAAAGCACCTTTAATAAAGCACCTTTTTGTAAGACTCACAGTCTTGCACAGAAAAATTTTTTTTTAAACATCCATTCTACTGTTGGATATTTGAGTTGTTTCCAGTTTGGGGAAATTGTGAAAAGAGCTGCTATGAGTGTTTCTGTACTCGTCATCTGGTTACACAAATGCATATGTTTCTCTAAGGTGTACACCTAGGAATGGAATTGCTAGTTCATGGGCAGGGTGACCATTTATGCTAGCTTAGTTGTCACAGTGTAATTATTAATAGAATACCTTTAATTCTCAAAAGTGTCTGGATGATTTGTATGGTCGCTCTAGTCATGAGGTATGCTTGTCTTCAACTTGACTAGGTACTAGTCAAACTGTTTTCCAAAGTGTTGTACCAGACCACACTTCCTTCTGTGATATATGAGAATTCCCATTGCTTCTTGTCCTCTTCAAATCTCAGATTTGCTAGCTTTTCAAATTAGCCAATCTGGTAAACTTTGCATTTAACTGGTTGGTAACCAGGTTGAATAGCTTTTCATATATTTATTGGCTATTTGAATTTCCTCATTTGTAAAATTCCTGTTCAGGTCTGCCCCTTATTTGTTTTTTTAAATTGGCCTTGTGTCTTTTATTGGTATTTCTCGAAGTTCTTTATTTACTCTAGATACAGATCCTTTGTCATGTGTCTGTGTTGCAAATGCCTACTTCCATTCTGTGGCTTGCTTTTTCACTTACTTTATGGTGTCTTTTAATGAACAGAAGTTCTTAATTTTAATGGAGTCAGATTTATTGGTCTTTTCTTTATGGTTAGTGCTTTTTGTGTCTTGTCTTGTTTTAAGACTCTTCCTATCCTCAGGTCAAGAAGATATTCTCCTGTGCGGTATTATCTTCTAAAAGCTTTATTGACCTTAAAAGATGTATGATTATGAGTAAAATACACTGTTCTTGACCCTATCCTTGCCATTACAAATCTATTTTTGCTTTTGTTCGCTTTCTTCTGTGTGCTGTCTTGAATTTTTACTTGTCTGCAACTATAGCTAAGGGCCAGGTGCTGACTTCCCCTGTCTCTTAGGAGAAAATGGTCATATAGACAGAAGTTCAACCAGATTAGATTTTACAGGTCTCCAGCTGACTGTATTGCCCTTTTTCCTTTTATGAGCTAGCATTTTATTGTGTTCCTGCTATGTGTCTGCCACCATCCTTGGTTCTTTCATATTTGTTATCTCAATTATTCCTCTTAACAGTTCTGCCAAACAGGGATGTATAATCTATTTCACAGAGGACAAAACTGAGACTTAAGATTGATTAACATGTCCAGTATCCCACAACTTAGGTAGCTGGCAAAGTGGAGACTTGATCCCTGAACTCTTCTAGGTATGTCCCATCACAGCACACCTCCTTGTTGAATAATATTCCAGACCCCTATTTGATAATATCCAAAACCAATGAGAGTAACTTTCTTATAATGTAACATGTCCTCATTAAAGCACACAGAGGGGTGCCCGGTGGCTCAGTCGGTTAAGCGTCTGACTTCTGCTCAGGTCATGATCTCAGGGTCCTGGGATCGAGCCTCAGAGTCACTGAGGCTCCTTGGAGAGTCTGCTTCTCCCTCTGACCTCCCCCCTACCACTGTTCGTGGTCTGTCTCACATAAAATCTTTAAAAAAATAAATAAATAAAGCACACATAGAGATAGTTACTTTGAAACTCAATAAAACTATTGACCTCTCTGTGTATATTAAAGTAAGTAGAGTAGTTAGTGGGCCTTAGGGCATCTTGGGATAGGTGATAGAGATCTTATAAACCCTTGAAATTGTATGCAAATGACTATATGTACATGTGTTCATTTTTAAAAATAGATCTATAGTTTTCTTGAGGTTCTCAGAGGGGAACCCTAATTGGTTTTCAGGCTATACAAGATACCTTGTTTGAAGACATTTTTAATAAAGCTAATGCAGAATTCTTATGATCTGTATTTTCAAAATAATCAGATTTTTTTTCTCAATACGTTGTTCTCAGTCTTTGTCATTAAACCTGGTTAAAGCTAATTTATAATCAGGAAGAAATCTAGGGTTGAATAGGAATTTTTAAATGCCAAAAAAAGACATTCTAAATTTAGTTGATTATTTCTTAAGTGAGAGTGCTTAGTTATAATAATATCATTACCAATCAGTGTACCCTGGCTCCAAAGGCCTGATGTCTTCAAATGACTTTTCATCTTGTCTCTAAAATCCTCTGTTTTACAAGGGATCATATTTCCTGTGAGGTTCCTAACAGTGTGATTAAAGTTTAGAGACTGAAACTATTGAGCACTTAAATGTAGGGATGACTATGCAAACCTAATTCTTGGGCTTCACCAGGAGACTTGGGGCATGTCTCTACTAATTTGCAATGATGTTGTTGAAACTAATCTTTGCTAGGGATTATGGAAGCCATAATAATTTATTGATGGTTCAGTTATTGTTTGTTGAAGCAGCTTTACACAGTTATAGTTTAATGACATAACAAGGATATTGTCAAGTAGGAGAGCATGACATGAAAAATTAAACTTCCAATTAATATAATATGTATTAGTTGAAATGATAATTTTCATGGTGATTTAGCCTCTTAAAAATCCTTGGAAAACATTATTAGCTTGTGAATTGAAAACTCTCGATGTTAATGAGTAGTGAGAAAGAATTTAGTATTATTCCCCCCAAAATGGGGAATTAAATACTCAATTCAATTAACATTTATTGAGTGCCTACTCTGGGCTTGCTGCTGAGTTAGGCTCATAAATATAAGTTGAACAAGATTGATATTGGGAGAGATGAAGTCCTGGTTGCTTTTGTTTGTTCAGTCATCCTTCCCTTAAACTTACGTTGGATGGATACTATTGCTGGAGTGATTCAGACATTCAACAAATTTGTGCGTGTGTGTGGGTGCACTTCACTATGCCGTATTGTGTCACTACTCCTGCATTGGCTTCCTATTACTTCATCTGTCATGTTCACACGCCTCAGCCTGGTTTTTGTTACATCCAACTTTCTTACTTCTATTCAGCACGTAACTGGCCCAAGGCATGCACGTGGACTTGGTGTCCCTTTTTTAGGCAGTTCATTCTTAGCTGCTGTGCCCTCTGCTAGATTCCCTTCATTCGTTCACTGATGTGTTCATCTAGCAAATAGGCACGGCACCCCTCTTCTGTTCAAGTAGTGGTCCTGGGGAATCTAGGGGCATACAAAGGTGAAATCAAACATGAATCCTGCTCTTAAGAATTTCACAATTCTAGTAAGGGAGATGAGGTCAGGACACAAATGAGCATAATACAAAGTGGAAAATGAATGCTAAAATATTAAGATAGCTAAAAGCTTCCTGTTAGACAAAGAGATGTAGGGCTTCTGAGAAGGTGTCGGTTTTTACTGGACCATGAAGGATTTGTATTTTCATTTCATTTGGGTGAAGAAACCGAGCAGTTGTCCAAGTTCTACCTTGTCTTTCAAGGTCCAGTTTACATCCCATCCACTCAAGGGGTGTTGTGCCCCCTCAGCAAGGTAAAGTCACAGTGGTTTCCAGACTTTTACCCTTCTGTAGTCAGAGGAACCCTTTCTGTGAAGTGAATCTTCAGGAGAAGCCTATTATGAATGGGAGTGTTAAAATGGAGCTCCTTTGTTGGGTGCAGGGAGTTATGGAACCCTAGTGTTTAACCCACAGGGGCATCTGGAGGTGATACCTGAGGCACTTTCTCACAAGAGATCCAAGGAGTCTAATTTGGAAAGCCAGTGGAGACACAGGAAAGAGTTTAGTTTTAGCATCTAAAGTAAAATCATTCATGACTTAGTGATCTGAAGCATTGATGAGTCATGTCTCAGATTTCTTTTTGCAAAATTGGGCAACAGTGCTACCTTATAGAGTTGTTTTAAGGTTTACTGATAATCTGTGTATGTGTACTGATAATCTATGTAAAGTGCCTGACCCACAGTAGGTGTCAGAAAATGGTTGGTATTATAGTTTCGTGCTTTCTTCTTTTTTTTTTTTTAATGACTTACTGAGGTGAAATTTACATAACATAAATTTAACCATTTAAAGTGAACAAATTCAGTGACATTTAGTACATTCCCAGTGTTGTGTGACCACCACCTCTATCTAGTTTCAAAACCTTTTCATCAAACTAAAATAAAATCCCTTACCTATTAAGCAGTTTCTCTTCATCTCTCCACTCCCCAGGCCCCACCAATCTATGTTCTATGTATGAATTAATCTATTTTGGATGTTTCATATAAATTGAATTATACCATATGTGACTTTTTGTGTCTGGCTTCTTTTGCAACATGTTTTTAAGGTTCGTCCACACTGTAGCATGTGTCAGTATTTCATTTCTTTTTATGACTGAATAATATTCCACTGCGTGGATATACCATCTTTTGTTAATCCATTCACCTGTTTGTTTTTAACTTTTTACTTTATTGCTTTAAAAAATTTTTATTTTACTTAAATTCAATTAATTAACATAGTGTTATTATTAGTTTCAGTGTATTATAGTGTATTATTATTAGTATTAATATGCTAACATTAGTGTATTGTTAGTTTCAAGTAGAGTTCAGTGATTCATCAGTTGCATACAATACCCAGTATTCATTCCATTGTGTGCCCTCCTTAATGCCCATCACCCAGTTTCCATTCAACTATTGATGGACATTTGGTCTACGTCCACTTTCTGGCTATTGCGAATAGTGCTGTTATGAACGTGTGTGTGTGTGTGTGTGTGTGTGTACTTATTTGAGTAACTGTTTTCAGTTCATCAGGGTATATACCTAGATGTTGAATTGTGGGGTCTTATGGTAATTTCCTATTTAGCTTTTTGAAGAACCACCAAACAGTGCTTTGTTGTTTCTGAATTGCTTCTTATGCCTCTAGTACCTACCATAGGGCTGCATACAGGGAATATCTTCCTAAATTTTGTTGGTGGTTCTTTGGTTAATATTTGTATCCTTTTCTTCCACTCCACATATTTGGGGCCTTGAGCATTAATTTTCAGGGAAATAGATATATCCAGGACTTGAAAGTTAACAAATGGGATGATGTTTGATGTTGTCAGATAGCAGATACTTGTTAACTGTGGACACTATTTTGAGCAAGTGTGCAAATAGCCTGTGCTGAGTAGTTATACAAGAAAAAAAGTTAAGGTCTCTTCCCTTAAGCACTGTATGTTCTGTTTCAGAAGATACTGTTAAGATTTGAGGATCCTCACTCAGTTACATAATAGGCTGTGAAAAAATCCAGGAGCATATAAAAGTGAGAAAACTAAAAATAACTGTTAGCAAGTAAAACCTGGGATGACAAAAGAGTAAACTCTATTGTTAATCTTTATTTTTTTTAACCACTGTTTTTGGCTCATCTGTGATATGACTCGAGTGTTACGACATTGATTTTGAAACAACACACAGCTTTAGTGAAAGCGTTGAGGAGGTTTCACATAATATTTATAATCCAGGGTATTTTGACTCCTCTTATGCTGATGTGAATATTTCTGAATAGTGTTGATATTTATATAATACTAATGAAGCCAAAAGCTCGTGTTGGACTAAGCATTTCTCTAGATCTGTTTAGAATAGTTTGTAATGAATGATGTAAATACATCCATACAACCATATAATTTACTGATACTATTTTGTAGTTAAAAATAAAGTGATTCAAAACCTTAGAAAATAGAATAATTTAATTTGATGTCGCATGAGTCCCCAGAATTAATTTGGAATGATTCACTCTCTTTTTGATAGCCTTTTAGTCCAACTTTCATTTTATAGAAAAAAAAGAGAATAATGATTTTTAGGGTTGTACGTCTGATAGAATGTCCTATCTACATGTAAAACAAATCCTAGTGCTCTGAGAAAGAGAAGTGGTGTGGCTAATTCCAAATCAGGGGGAAAAAAGCATTTCTATTTGGCTTTTGAATGAATTAATGCATTTTTTTTCCTGTAGATTTGCCTTTCTAGTTAGATACTGCTTAAACTAAAATTAAATTGGCTTTCAGTCTATTCTCTTAGCATATACCAATTTACAGTGGGGCAGTGGGATGTCAGTAACAAACCCACCTAAGATTAAAAAAATTTGCAGTGGATAATATACATGTGTTTAGTTGAGAATTGGCTACAGATAAGCGACTACTGATTTTGTTCCTCGCTTTAACACTGATTCTGGTTGTAGCATAGAGCTGCTGAGTTACATCTGCTTCTGCCTAATTAACTCTGTTGGTTGGTGTCAGATGAGAGCTAATTTTGAGATTAAATTGAGGAGTGGGGTGTGTGTGTCTGTGGCTGGGGGAGGGGAAAAGGAGGATCTAAGGTTGCTTGGTTGTTTTGTATAAGATCAAAATGCAGTTATTCACAATGTTGTTTTAAATTTATTTTTTGCCTTTGAAGTGAAAATGATCACTATGGTCCTGAAGTGACTCTTGTGGAAACTGGTACATCCTTCTCTTAGGTGCAGTTATTGGCCATATCTTGATTATCCAGTCAGTACATAGATGCCAGGGACCTTTGGGACAAATAGTGAATGTTTCTTGGAAAGTTAGTAACTGAGCTTCAAACAGCATTTGACTTTTTTGTTTTCAGACAAAATGTTATACCTGCCTGGCTATTTGAGTAATACCAAGATTTTTTTTTCCCGTGATAAGATTCTTTCTTAGACTCTATCACAGCCTGTTTTTTGTTTTTGTTTTTGTTTTTGTTTTGGAGTAGGCCAGTGTGGGACTTGAACTCAAAACCTTGAGATCAAGAGTCGGACGCTTAACTGACTGAACTACCCAGGTGCCCCTATCACAACCTGGGTTTTAAAATTTGGGAAACACATCTGGTCTTAAAGTTAAGAGCAAAAATTTTTTCTTTTTTTCAAAGATTTTATTTTATTTATTTGAGAGAGAGAGTACAAGAAGGGGGTAGGGTCAAAGGGAGAAGCAGACTCCCTGCCGAGCAGGGAGCCCGATGTGGAACTCGATCCCGGAGCGGGATCATGACCTGAGCCGAAGGCAGTAGCTTAATTGGCTGAGCCACCCAGGCGCCCCCAAATTTTTTTCTTTAAGCACTGCTTTGGAGCTTCATTTCCTGTCCTGAATTCATGTTCTTAAATACCCGTAAGTGGTAGGAAAGAGTTAATATAGCACCAAAAGTAAAGTGCTAATAAGCTCATTGCAGTTGTTTGTATTGGATAGTTGTGAAGATCCATAGATGGTTCCTGAAGTTGAAGGATGTCTTTATGCCCAAATTAACATTTACTTTTTTTTCCTTTGGCAGATTTGCTTGAAGATTTGGACAATCTTCTTTTTTGTCATGGACTGTTAATACATTTGGAGTTCCAGTTCTGGTATTTTCCCTTATTTTATTATATTTTAAGATACAAAATGTCAGTCTTAAAGAAATGTGTTGTTAATGGATATGAATGATTCTGCTGATTGTAAAGATTGTGGTAATAGCTTGTAATGAAAGTATATTTTGAGTATTTATTAGTTTTTGTTTTAAGGTATGTTCATTTACTTGTGTAACCAAAATGCCTGAGACCACCTTTGCAATATTGTATACTTTTCTGTGACCTCTCCTCCTGCTTCCTGTAGTTGTATTTTGTGCAATCAAATTAAACTAGTTGATTCATCCTGGGTAAATGATGAAAGATGAAAAAATTATTTGGACATAGTGAAATCTCTTCTAATGAAATTTGCCCCAAACTCTTTTACTTTGAAAAGATGTGTCCTATTCTAAACTTAATAACACAATGATTCCCATGTTCTATCTCGAAAGTAGTTGCATTATGAAAGCCAGTGATTTCATTCCTAAACACACCATATTCCAAGTCTAACATTTTTTTTCAGTGATTTATATAATGACACAAAGGGGAGTGCTTATTAGATTTGTAGATGACATAGATGACAGAATCGAGATTCAAAATGATCTAACAGGTTGGAAGATAGACTGAAACCACCAACAAAATGAACTTGAACTGTAATAAATTTTAAATCCCAGCATTTATATTTGCACAAGGAAGGGAATGGAAAGTCTCAGCTTGACAGCATTTTTGAAGATCTGGGATTTTTAGTTGGACTGCATGCGTAGCATGAGTCAGTTGTATGGCAAGGCTGTTAAGAAAGTTCATGTAACCTTGGATTACATTTATACTTGGATAATGCCTGGACTGCCAGATTTTAAGATGTGCATTAGCCAAACTAGTGAGCAATCAAAAGAAGGAAGTGCTTGGAAACCATGTGATGTGGATGTGTTAAGGAACTGGAATATGAGTGGTCTAAAGTAGGGCGGGAGGTAGAGTGGAGTTCAATTTTAGTGGTTTTCAAAAGATTCTTGTTTTCAAATACTTGAAGGCCTGTCATATTAAAGAATTAGTAAGAATGCCTTGGGATTGTTTTAGGGAAACCAAGACTAAAGGGTAGAAGTTATGGGAAGACAGATTTTGGCTCTTGTGAGCAAAGAATATATTAGAGTTAGAGCTGTCCAACAGTGGAGTGAACTGCCTCAAAAAGTGATAAATTCTCTGTCACTGGAAGTATTTTAAGACTTGATGGCCCATCTCTTGGGGTTATTGAACAAGGGATCTTTTACTGGATAACTAGAGATTAGATGGGATGACCTCTCCAGTCCCTTTAGCCCCAAGTTTCTGAATCCGAGGGGAAAAAAATGGAGTGAACCTACGGTTTACTGACTGCGAAGAGGACAGTTCTTTTTAAATTGCCTCTTTCAAGCTGACTGAGCAAGTATAGTTCAATGGCCCAGTTTTTCAGCAACAGAGCAAATGTTATGTTTTTCATTATATCTGGCTAAAGTTTTTTTTTTTTTTTTTTTTTAATCTGGCTAAAGTTTTGAGGAAAGATGTTATTCCCTTGTAGGTACAATAAATAAATAACCAGAAATAAATTTAATTTTTTATGAGGTATTTTTCAAAGTGACAGACATTGCATTAATGGAAAGTGATGATAGCTACTGTATGTTGACTATTAGATATCATATTCATGTAATTCTCTTTTTTTTTTTTTAAAGATTTTATTTATTTGACAGAAAGAGACACAGCGAGAGAGGGAACACAAGCAGGGGGAGTGGGAGAGGGAGAAGCAGGCTTCCCGCTGAGCGGGGAGCCCGATGCGGGGCTCGATCCCGGGACTCCAGGATCATGACCTGAGCCGAAGGCAGTCGCCTAACCAACTGAGCCACCCAGGCGCCCCTCACGTAATTCTCTTTTAACACTCCTGTGAGGGTTAACTGTTATTTCCCCATGGGTAAGGTGACTGAAACTTAACTCATTTACCCAGGGTGTCTCTGCTAGATGTTGGTAGAGCTAGTTTTCATACCATTAGTCTGATTTCAGAGGCAAGTGTGGCTCAGGTGAGGATAGCACTGGACTTGGATTTTTTAGAATAATGGCATTTGAGCCTTAAGTTTACAATAGACTGTTACTTTGAGTGAGTTCCATCTTCCCCTGAACCTCAGTTTACCCATAGAGTTGTCTTGCAGATTAAATGACAAATTACATGTGAGCCTACTCTGTAAACTTGAAACTATAAAAAGAGTTCAGATGTGGATATTATCAATGGAAGGCAAGATTAGAGCCCAGATCTGACCAAACTCCCAGGCCAGGGCACTTTCTCCTAGTGTTCTTTGCAGGTACACTCAATAGAGATTGGAGATGTAGGGTGGTTTTGGTGTACACCAGGAGGCTTTCAGAGAGCAGTACAACTGTTTACCTAGAATCGGATTTGTATGAACCTTCCTTGTATTGAGCAGGTATTAAGATACCTAGAATGGTATATTATTTAAAAGGTGAAGGGTTATATTACCATATTAGTTTCAGTTTTCTAACTTGTGGATTAGAGAGTATCACAGACCTTTTGCAAAGGGATGGGAGGATATGATTCTGTAGAAGTGGCTAGTTGGCTAGTTGGGAAATTTTCTTACGTGTGAGACTTGGGAAATACAATATCTAGCTGAAATAGAAGAATCAGGATTATTGCCTTCTTTTTTTTTTTTCAAGTTTAAGATTTCTTGAAGTAAAGTTAATGTACAGTTGACCCTTGAACAACATGGGTTTGAACTGCGTGGGTCCACTTACACGTGGTTTTTTGTTTTGTTTTGTTTTTTGATAAATACAGTGCTGTAAATATATTTTCTTAATAACATTTTCTTTTCTCAAGCTTTATTGTAAAAATACAGTATAAAATACATATACAAAACGTGTTAATCAACTGTTTATGTTGTGTAAGGCTTCCAGTTAACAGTAGGCTATATGTAGTTAAGTTTTTGGGGAGTCAGAAGTTATACATAAATTTTTGACAATTCCCCGCATTGTTCAAGGGTCACTTTTACTTTCCTCAGAGTTTTTGTGTCATAGAATTTTTCTTTGAGATTGCTTTTATGTTTATGATTGTTTTTATGTTTATGATAGACATATATCTTGAACCATTCATGTAATTGTATTAATTTCAGTAAGGGTTAATCCACTAAGTAAGTAACTTAGGTATGATCTTTTAAATACCCTATAAATGACTTCATATAAATAACAAGTGAAAATCCTAAAAAAATTTCCTTCTCAGACTATGACCCAGTTTCTGGTTAGGAAATTTAGTCACTGTGGCTTTGTTACATAATACCTGCCTGTCATTACTTCTGTGGTCCTTTTGCATCTGAAAAATAATACTAAAGAGCCTTTTATTTTTAGAAATTCCATTATTAAGAGCCTTTTCCCCCCTTTTTATCCTTTAAGGTCTTGATTTCCTTGTTAAAGATGTTCTTCGCCCGAATGCAGTCTTTCCTGTTGGTCAAATAAGACAACTATCAACATTTCCAGTGTGTCCTGTTTTTAATCTCTTAAGGATGGATGTTTGTGAGGTTTTGCTTAATAAGGTCTGGAATATTCTGCCCGTTTGTTGAGTTGTAAATGACTTTTAAATGTTCAAGTTCTGTTAAATACAAGGAGAACCTCTATGGGTAACTTTGGTATTGAAGAAGTCATTTGTCAACCATGGTAAAACTTGCAAACCCACTTTACACAGAGTGGATTCTTGAAGCTATACAGAAAATAAAAAAGCAAAAGCAAAGGCCCTCTGAAGAGAGAATCTGCCATGCAGTCAGCACTTCCCATGGGTTGGATAAGAAGACAGTCTCGGAGCAGCTGGAGCTCAGTGTTCAGGATGGCTCAGTTCTCAAAGTCACCAACAAAGGCCTTGCCTCCTATAAGGACCCAGACAACCCTGGGCGCTTTTCATCAGTTAAACCAGGCACTTTTCCCAAGTCAACCAAGGGGTCTAGGGGATCATGTAATGATCTCCGCAATGTGGATTGGAATAAACTTTTAAGGAGAGCAATTGAAGGACTGGAGGAGCCAAATGGCTCCTCCCTGAAGAACATTGAGAAGTATCTCAGAAGTCAAAGTGATCTCACAGGCACCACCAACAACCCAGCCTTTCAGCAGCGGCTGCGACTAGGGGCTAAACGCGCAGTGAACAACGGGAGGTTACTGAAAGATGGACCACAGTACAGGGTCAATTATGGAAGCTTAGATGGCAAAGGGGCTCCCAAATATCCCAGTGCTTTCCCATCCTCGCTACCACCTGTCAGCCTTCTACCCCATGAGAAAGACCAGGTAAGTGAAGAGAAGGTTAATACGTTCTAAATATTGCCCATCTGACTTGCACAGTTTCAGTTAAATTGTATATGGACAAAAGTCCCGAGGGAAGTTGAATAAAATCAACTGTTTCCTTAAGCGCAGGCTTTCATATTTTAAAATGTATACATTGTTTATAATGTAAATTGTTCTATACTGTTTTACTCTGTATTGAGGGCTTCCTCGCTAGTCAATTAAGAATTTAATGTGATGATTATGTGATTTGTTTTTTAAACTAATTGGTTGAATACTTGAAGGGACCTGGGTAGAGAACTTTAATCCTCCTTCATTAAGGCAGGACCATATATATTTCAAAAATCTAAGAAAGGCCATCGTGTATTTTTCTCTCTCAAAATTTTAAAATTATTTATAATTTATTTTTTCTGCTTTACTGAGGTATAATAATTATTATCAGAGAAGACGTCTATAGACTAGTTATGTTAATACTGATAACCTGTGCATTCCTGGTATTGTTTTAATATGTGACCCAAACCCTGCCTATTTAAAGTCATTTATTACTGTCCACTTCTCAGTGGGTGAAAGTGAATGTTTTTGTCTCATACCATATCTTTTCTTACAGTCTTTTGTTTCTTTGGGTCTTATGTTATTTCTGTAGTATATATATATATATGACAGATTTCTCTTTAAGTGACGGCTACAATTTTAAGTATTGGAGTAGGATTTTTGTTTCTCATTTCAAAGCTACTGAGGTTACCTCCCAAACTAAAACCAAAGTAGAGCAAGAGCAAATGGTTTATATTTGGGCCTTTCATTGTTGTTAGAAAGGATGGTTGTATGTGTTGACTACATTTCTAGAAGTGATGGAAACACAAGTGTTAAGAAAAGTTGTGTAGCTGATGGCTTGTTTTTCCTCTTTGGATACTGCCAGCGCTTGAGATGGACTCTGCTTCCCTCAGTGGTTTAAGCTGATAGAAGCCTAGCTCCAGAAACTGGGTAGGACCAGGTGATTTGCCTTCCACAGACTAATCTAAACCCTAGCATTTATTTCTTAATTGTATTTTTATTTTATTAGTTTTCCTCAGATTTATTTATCTTCTGGTGGCATTTGTGTTTGTGTAACCAACCCTCAATTCTTTGTGAGAAAATGTGGGCATAAAGAAAGAAGTAAATCTACAAAAAATTTTTTTAATAACATTTGTTTCAAAAAAATGTATTGAGTGACTCAAATCCTAATTCCTGTGTCTGACAGCCCCATTAAGCACTTCTGTTTCTCATTAAATATTTTTATAAAAGCGTATACACCATGGGGAAATTCCTTAAGGGGATGTAGAGCCATTTCTTTTTTTTTTTTTTTTAATATTTTATTTATTTATCTGACAGAGAGAGACACAGCGAGAGCAGGAACACAAGCAGGGGGAGTGGGAGAGGGAGAAGCAGGCTTTCCGCGGAGCAGGGAGCCCGAAGTGGGGCTCGATCCCAGGACGCTGGGATCATGATGTGAGCCAAAGGCAGACACTTAACGACTGAGCCACCCAGGCGCCCCTGTAGAGCCATTTCTTGTTGGATTTGGGTATCTTTGTTTTTAAAACCTGTACATTACCCTGAGGTATATTAAGGTTTTATAATTACCAGGTACATGGACTAATTCAGGCAGCTTTAGGCACCTTAATAGGATGTTTCAATAAATTTGTGATCCAGGGGATATCTTTACTTGTGATAGAAGTCACTACAAATTTTCCACAGTCCCTTTCCTATCCTTCTCTTTAACTTTGCCCGTCATTTCTTGCTAACCTTATCTTTTTTTTCATGCAGCATCTGTATGGAAGTATTTTTAGTCTAAAGGAAAATTCTTGTCTGAAAGTATCTAGAATTGAGAACAGAGTAATTTACTGCTTAGCCTGCAATTGTTTCTATGATGCTGATCTTTTTATATTGTCCAGTTAGCATCATCATCGAACAAGGAAAACAGAAAAGGTGTCCTAAAATTTTTACCTGATGGAATTTGGAGACCAATTGTAGTAATAATTTAATCATAATCTAATTCTTAAAAAAGAACAAATAAAGCTTAATAAAAATCATATCAAATCAATTTGACCATAAGCAATTATATTGTTTGTATTGTATAATTGCAATAGTATTTTTTCTTGAAAATGTAAATTGCCCTTTGAGATTACAAGTGGTAAATAGTTTACAACCATGTAGACTTGCTAAGTAAATGTAATAGAAGTTCTTAACCTGGGCCCATGAATGAGCTTTAGATAGATGGATAGGCCACAGAAATCGAATAGAAAGTCTTCTGTATCCACACGTTTTTCCAAGGTTAGGGTCTATTGTGGTTTTTTGTACTCTTTGTTTCTTATACTAAAACCATAATGTGCTAGTTGTTGGCTTTTGATTATTCTTACTTTATGGTTGCTGAACATGGATCTGAATGTAGACTGGTTGTACTATGGTTTCGTGTACATAGTACTTTCTCTAATATGTTTGAAGGGCAGATTATCATTGTTCTTGATGTGCTAGAAATCCTTAGTGTTTGTATTGTGGGAAAATGTTTATGATATAAATGACAACTGTTTGTACAGAGATGGAGTCATCTCACAATTTAGCCAACTGATGTCTCTCAGAGAAGCTGTCACTCTAGTTACTTTCCCTGAGTAGTTCATTTAATTGTGAAAATGAAAACAAAAATTGTAAAAATAATAACTAACATTTCTTAACACTGGCAGGATGCCAAGTCCTTGACATTTATTGTCTCCTTGATTGACACAATAACTGGGACAGCCATAGGATTATTATCCTTATTTTGCACATGGAAAACTGAGGCTCAAAGCCTAAGTAATTTGCTCAAGACCACTGATAGAGCTGGTGAGTGGTGAAGCCCAGTTTCTAGGGAGGCAGTGTGACTCCAGACGTCTTTACTGCTGGGCTGTATACTGGTCAACAGTGGTGGCTTTTCATTAACAGTAAAAGTCTCTCTCCCGTTTCCTCAGATGTTTAGAAGCAGTTTCCTTCAACAAATAGATTTCTGGCATTTTAAATTGTGGTAGTTGCAGTGAGCTTATTACACTTTTTAAAGCAGGTACTATTTGTAATATTAGCAATATGGGAAAGCAGTAGGGAAGGTAGTAAATCTGTGTCTAATTAGATTTAACATCATCATCATTCCTATGCATGGCTGCTAGGAGGAATACAATGCAAGTTAAAATAGAAGGGCTCCTTCCTTTCTGAAATGTAATTGCACATCTTCTGATAGTCTAGAATTCAAATTGGATATTACCACACTGGCTCTTTAGCATAACTTCTTTGTATTTATTTAAGAAAGCTCTCTTTGGTGAGGTGATATGGAAATGAATTAAACCACTGAAGATAAAACTTTATCTCTGACTTGGTGAGGGAACTCCTAAAGGATAGTATTAGTGTTTCTCATTAAAAGTGGTAAAGCTCAATTAGGTCAGATTATGAGGACTTTGGAAAGTCAAATATTCTAAGAGAGACTTCAGTTATCACCACACACTTTGTAGCATTAAGATTCCATTTGAATATTTGGGCTTTAGCATTTTTATAAAATCAGTTTAGTTCAGTTTTAAACAGATTCCTTGGTATTTCACTTTATTGGCGATATTTTGCTGTAATTTATTAATTATCAAATATTGTTGTTTCCACTACAGTACATAATATGGGAACTCTCATTTTAGGCTGCTGTAGTTGGAAAGGGAGATGCTTCTAATATCAGGTCAGGCTTTTGATGTTTTTTTTCTTGAAGAAGTGAAAATTAGAGTCTGCAAACAGAATTACAAAAACAATGATACTCTCCATAAGAAAAAAGTAAAGATGAGTTTAAAAAGGAACACAGACTATCCAAAATGGGGCTGAGAGGCAAAACTGTGTTAAAAATCACTTGTGGTCCTGGCTCGTTCAGTTGTTTATTCTGTTTGTCCCCCCACTCCCTTTTAGGGAGATATTTTATTAGGGCTTTTGGCAATGTTATTAGTATGAAGTATTTCCGTAAATACAAGATTAGTGTACATCCTACATTGCTTTCTTGTGTTGTGTAAATGCCATAAATAAAAGAACTTTATTTTTAGATCCCTTTCTTTGGTTTTCTCCACTCTGTCCTCGCCTCTCCAGTCCCATTATCCCTGCCCTAGAGAGACCCTCCTTGTCTTTCTCTGGGACTTTTCCAATTGCCTGTACTTTGTGAAGGACCATTCACTAGTCCATATTGTTCTTTGATGTGGCAGGCTTCCAGAAGTCTCTCGGCCCTAGGGGAATCGTTCATAGTCTCAGACTCTGGATCTTTTTGGCAGAAATGTGTGTATTTTTTATCTGCTAATTACAGAGTCCAAGTGTCCTCCTCTCTGTTGACCTTCTTAGTTTTCCTTTGAATTGGTGTCCTTTGTATTGCAGATGTCACATTTCTCAGAGAGTGCTTAGCTATGTGTATTCAGCTGAAAGTGGGATAAAGCCCTAAACATTGTAAAATACACTCTTCTGTATAACCTGAATTTTGGAATTGGTATGGATGAAAGTCAGTTTTAGAATGACTAAAGTTGGACAGAAACCTATTACAATGTAGAAGTCTAGCTGGATCTGCTGGTTTCAGGGTCAGGGAAGGAAAAATATTGTAGTTTATATTGTTCCTATAATTAAGCTTCGGTAGTTCTTCCAAATAGCAGACTATCTGAGGACTACTTTTGTGAGCAGATAATACCAATTGTTGAGGCATTATTGAGAGAGCACTTGGATTGTCTCAGACTAGTTAGTCGGGTCAAGGGAGAGATAAAATGAAGAGTGAATGAATCTTTCTGTAGGACTCTGAGGTATGACAGCTTGTTCCACTTTTGAGCTTTGATCAAGATGGGACTGTCTAGACTTCTAATGAAGTAGGCTTCAGGTAAAGTAGCAACATTATGTCAGAGGATTTTAAATCCTCTGACATAACGAGTCTTTTTTTTTTTTTTAAAGATTTTATTTATTTGATAGAGATACAGTGAGAGAGGGAACACAAGCAGGGGGAG